ACAGCTGTAAAGCGTCATTTTAAGCTAGTTAGCATGCTAACATGCTAAACGGGGATGCTGAATTTCAACTCGCTGCCATTCTTTCATGCTCATGTGGAGAAAGTCGTTTTTTTTTGTCCGTTAAAGTGTGTTTTGGTCTGAGGGGATCTGTGAGAATCGTGGAGCTTCAGAAACAGCAGCAGCAGTCGCTCTGGAAAAGCTTTGGACGCACATGTCTGCTCTTTGTTTACTCTGATTCACATCTGACAACAATAAGCGGCTGTAGTGGGCGTCTTCCTCTCAGTGAGTCCTGTGTTTTCAGACCCGTCCGGGCCAGAGATAGAGCCGTTATCCCTTCATTTAATCTGGTCTATAGCCAGAGATGAATAGTAACAAAGTAGAGCTACTTAAGTACTGTATTTAAGTACCAAAATGCAGTATCTGTACTTTATATTTCCCTATGTTTACTTTTACTCCACCACATACTTTTGATAAATTGAATACTTTTACTTTTACTTTCAGGGGCTGAATCGTTACTCGTTACTGACATGTAAACGTGATGATAGATAGCTATGTCAGGGTTTGGGAAGCTGGATCCTCATTGGGCGATTTGAGCTATCAAGCATAGCTTATTAAAAGAAAGCCTCCCGAAAGATTGAGAAATCATGGCCTTCAAAAATTCCCCGTCTAATCTGAAGAATCATATCAAGGTAAAAAATACAATCAATGACATATAAGCTAGTAAATAAGCGCTAGTTCAGTTCTCCCTGTTCACTCAGGACGTAGCAGCTAACGTTAGCTAAAGCTAACCTAGCTGGCTAGCTGTATGATAACGTTAGCTAAAGCTAACCTAGCTGGCTAGCTGTATGATAACGTTAGCTAAAGCTAACCTATCTGGCTAGCTGTAGTAGTACTTCCATACTTTCACTTAAGTATGGAGTTGAAAGAACACTTCTACTTTTACTCAAGTAATTTTTTTATATAGTACATACATCTAATCTAGTACTTTATACATCTACTGTAGTACTTTATACATCTACTTTAGTACTTTATACAACTGCCCTAGTACTTTATACATCTACTCTAGTATTTTATACATCTACTGTAGTACTTTATACATCTGCTCCAGTACTTTATACATCTACTCCAGTACTTTATACATCTACTCTAGTATTTTATACATCTACTGTAGTACTTTATACATCTGCTCCAGTACTTTATACATCTGCTCCAGTACTTTATACATCTACTCTAGTATTTTATACATCTACTGTAGTACTTTATACATCTGCTCCAGTACTTTATACATCTACTCCAGTACTTTATACATCTATTTTAGTACTTTATAATCTACTCCAGTGCTTTATACATCTATTTTAGTACTTTATAATCTACTTTGGTACTCTATACATCTACTCTAGTACTTTATACATCTGTCTCACACACAGACACACATTTATCAGCTTCTGATGCGTGATTATTATCTAAATAAGCAGATTTTATGCTCCCCTCTGGTCTCTCTGGTCCTCACAAAGGCCCTTTCAGTGCTTCTGTTGTGATGATGGAAACCTAAAGGCAGCTGCAGAACCAGTTAACCAGTCAAATCAGTTCCAGTCTGGGGAAAACTGGACAGGTTCTGGTCAGAAATGGGCTCCTCAGCTAAAAAAAACTATAACGGCTAATTGGAAACAAGTTTTGTCACCATCCATAGCAGAGTGGAAGAATAGCGTAAAAAAAAATGACCACATGTTTACAACTCAAAGTGGACAAGTCTAATCAAACATGGCATTTGGTGAAATTATATTTGGGTGTATGATTTTGGGCTGTAGTGAATAGCAATCTGCTCTGTCATTGGTGTTCTTATGGTATGTATTTGTATTTGTGTATGTACAAATATGGATGCATGTATGTGTGTATATATTATATATGTATTTTTTGCTGTTGGTTTA